AGCTACCTTATGTGCTACGTGCCTGGCCCTGGGACGGTGTTGTTGAGTCACATCTGAGTCTCCATCACCCTATTTGGGGTTTTCTTGGCAAAGATACTGGAGCAGGTTTGCCATTTCCTTCCCCAACTTATTTTACGGATGAGGAAATTGAGGCAAACAGGAGTAAGTGACTTGCCTCGGGGCACACAGCTAGTAAGTGTTAGGTGTCTGAGGTCTGATTTGAACTCAGGTCCTCCTAACTCCAGGGCTGGTGCTCTATCCACTGCGCCGCCTACCTGCCCCTTCTTGTGTTTGCATTTCAAAGCTCCTACTCAGCTCTAGCCTTTTCCTCATCAGATATACTTGAAAATCCTCTCTTCCATTTAAGACCATTTCCCCCCTGTCATATTAGAGTGAACTTTGCAGCCTGAGTTATTATTGGTGGCTAAGTGGCAGTGGTGGACAGAGTGCTGGACCTCAAGTCCCGAGTATAAATTTGGCCTCAGACACTGCCTAGCTGTGTGACCTTGGGCAAGTCACTTGCCTACTCTGTTTGCCTCAGTTTCCTCAAGTGTAAAATGGGAGTCGTAACAGCACCTGGCTCCTAGGGTTGTTGTGACAATTGAATGAGATATTTGTAAAATGTTTGCACAGGGCCTGGCACATACTAGGTGCTGCATAAGTATTAGCTATTATTATTGTTATCACCTATTGCTTTCGCCTTTTGGAATATTGCGTTTCATGATCTCTCCTTTACAGTGGAGGCTGCCAGGATTTAGCTACACCCCTGACTTTGGCCCTTTGATACTTAAGCTGCTGCTTTTTTGGCTCTGTGGCATTTTTTTTCTCTTTGACAGAAGAGCTCTGGATTTTGGGCTCTGACATTCTGGAGACTTTTTCTTTTGGGATTCCTTTCAGGAAATGATCAGTGGATTCTTTCCATGTTTACTTTGCCATCTGTTTCTAATAGATAGTGTCCAAGCTAAAAAAAAAAAAGAGTTTTCAGGGAGTCCAGAAATCCTTAAATTATCTTTCTTTGACCTGTTTTCCAAGTCATTTTTTAAATTTTGTATCATCTCTTACATTTTCTCCTACTGTTTTCATTCTTTCGGTTTTCTAGTGTTTCTTGCTTCTCATGGAATCATTGATTTCTGCTTGGTTTATTCTAGTTTTCAGGGAATCAATTGATTCTCTTTTAAGTTACTCATTTACTTTTCAATTCTGTCCTCCAGACCTTTTATTTAATTTTAAACATCTCTTGCTTATTTCTTAATTTCTTCTGGTTATTCATGGTAGGCCTTGTGGAATGGTGAAATAATTTTTTTTTTTTTAGTCTACGCTTGTAGGTGTTATGGTCGCTCTCTCCTTTTGGAGGATTTTTAGATTTGCAATAGTTTTTGATACTAAGTGGTGTTTTCTCAGATTTGCCCATCTCTCCAGCGTTAGTTCTTCTCACTGCTTTCTGCTGCACTTCTGGGTGAGATGATCCTGCCCTGGGTCCCCGGGACTGTTGCAGTGACCTCTACTGTCCTGGGTCTCTGAGATCCAAGGCCCTCTCTGTGATCTCAGGGCCCCGTTAGGGAGCTCAGACTCGGCTTTGGCTAGCCCAGTCCATGGGCCAAACAGTGTGTTGGTTGCTACCTGCTGCCGTTTCCTAGGTCTTCCAAGGTTCTGTTTCTTTGCCTTTATGACCACCCTGGGTTTTTATCAAGGGCTCCTTCTGCTCCTGCTGCCCCAGGACTCGCAGAGCCTTGTAGGTTATGCACGTCCCTGGCTGTCTCTGATCAGGTTGGCAGGCTCCCCATGCTCACTCTGGCTTTAGTGGTGGGGGTCCCCCTTTCTGATTGTCCTCAGGGCTACTCACTGACTTTTGTGCAGTTTGGGGTTGGAAGAGGTTCCGTACTATAGTTTCTCATTGGATTTCTTGATCATCATTTGGTCTGGTGCAGATGTGAGGGTTTTGCTGGAGTAGACATGTGGGAGAGGGGCAATTTGCCACTATTTAGGCAGCCATCCTGGGTGGAAATCTGTTCTGTGTTTGTGTCATGTTCACCACCTAGAGTGTGAGTGCATGTGAGCTAGAGGGACGCATAGCATAGAGCCCTGGGCTTGAAGTCAGAAAGACTCCTCTTCATGAGTTCAAACCTGGCCTCTGACACTTATTAGCTGTGTGACCCTGGGCAAGTCACTTAACCCTGTTTGCCTCAGTTTCCTCATCTGTAAAATGAGCTAGAGAAGGAGATGGCAAACCACTCCAGTATCTTTGCCAAGAAAACCCCAAATGGGGTCGTGAAGCATTGGACACATTTGAAATGATTTAACAACAACAAAAATAGAATTGAAGGATTTAGAAGTGGAAGCAATTTGAGGGGTTATGTAGGCCTGTTACCCATTTTTCCTCCCCCGCCATAACACATCTGGTTTGTGTGTCATCTTCTTGAGCAAAGTTGCTGTCAGCAAGTTGGTACTTTGGGTTGAAAGTAGCTGGTTCAAGCCTGTGATCATGGAATCAGTGGATTTAGGGCTGGAAGAAGGGACATAGTAATAGTAATAATAATGATAATAACAGCATTCCTGTAGTGTTTTAAGGTCTGCAAAGTACTTTACAGATGTTACCTCATTTTATCATCCTTACCACAACCCTGTGAAAAAGATGCTTCTACCCCCCATTTTACAGATGAGGACACTGGAGTCACACAGCTAGTAAGTATTTGAGACAGCATTCAAACTCAGGTCTTTCTGACTCCAAGTCTAAGCTCTGAGCCACCATCTAATTCACCCCCTTCATTTTAAAACTGATGTCTGGAAAAGTAAATGGCTTGCTCAGATGAATACAGCTCATTAATTTGTAGAGGTTAGATTCGAATCCCAGTGCCAAGACTGCAAATGTGGGGCTGTTTGCTCTGGACTTGGCTGCCTATCGGGCTCCAACTGGCTCAGATAGCCGTTGCTCAGTGGAACCCCTTTGACCTTTCCCAAGCAACCAAAGGTTGGTTGGATGAATGAACAAACGTGGTGCACACTGTGCCAAGCAGTGGGTGTTTTGGGGGAGAGGAGGACAGATCGTTATTGGGTTGGAGGATGTCAGAGAAGGCCTCTTGAAGGAAGAGGGCCTCGGGGTCTGTAGGTGCTATGACATGGTGTCTACTGCACAGCCTCACTCCCCTGGAGAATGTGAAGGGAGTGGACTGGGAGGAGGTCTTTCTGCCCTTCAGGCCTGGAAGGAGAATAGCTGTGGCCCTGGCTCCAGAGGACAAGGGAACGGCAGCCCCTCGGGAGGCTGGCCCAGCCCAGGGCAGCCCATGGCCACACTCTGCATCTCTGACTCTCCATGGTGTGCTCTGTCTAATTGGATGGTGGTGCACAGTCTTTGGCTCCATCCTGCCCTGGCTGGGTAATGCTGATGATAAGGGTCCTAGCATTACGAGGAAGGCACAGATGGAGTCATGAAGCCCCATTCTGGAAGGAGTAAGGGGACTGGCCCCGTTGGGAAGAGCATCGAGGCCTGGGCCAGACACTAACTGCTCCTGGGCCTTGTCTTGTCCCCATTGCTCAGGGTGGGACCAGGTAGGGGCCCTCCAACTAGTCCAGAGACAAACCAGGGTCAGGGATGACAGCTACTTTGAGCCTAGGAAAACCAGCCTTGGGCAAACCCTGATGCTCTGTGTTTATGAACTGTTCCTCAGCTTGGGAGCAATTTTTAGAGCTGGTGAGACCTTAGAACCTGGAAAGTAAGAGATAGGAAGGGCCGTAGCAATGCCCCACCCCCTTTCCCCAGTGCAGTTTTCTCATTTTATAGTTGGGGAAACTGAAACCAGGAGAGGGGAAATGACTCATAGTGAGCTGTTGGTAAAGTGGGGACCTGAACCCAGGCCTTCTGACTCTGCTGCTCTTTTTGGCATTCTGGGGCATTGTTGTTTTGTTTCAGAGGGAAAGGCCGGAGGTGTTTACTTTGGTTTGCCCAGTCATCTTGCAGAAGCCCCTGCATTTCCCGGGGAGGAGGGATGGGGATGGGGAGCATTTTTCCCCCCTAGGGAGGGGAGACTCAAAGGAGAGACAGCAGCTTGAGCCATCAGTCGGACAACAAGGACAGCAACCATAAAACTGTCCCTGAAAAGCTTCCTTCTACTTGCCTAGTGCCTGGAGGAAGCCTGGAGGAAGCCTGGAGTTCTCCCAGCGTGTTGGTGGAACACCAACCCGGGCAGGTCAGAGTAATGGCTGACGTTCCTGTAGCCCTCTAAATTTAGGAGATTGCTTTCCGTAAATTACCTCATTTGAGCCTCAGAAAAACCCTGTTAGGTAAGGTGCTCCAGGGGTTAATAGACCCATTTTATAGATGAGAAAACCGAGGCTAAGGGACTTGCTCAGCATTGCAAAACTGGGAAGTATGCAGGGCAGAATTCTGGTCCAGCTCTTGGAGATTCCATATCCCTGTGCTCTCTCCATAGGCTCAGCTGCCTTTCTTGCTGGAGAGGGTTTGAGGACAGGCTTTATCTTGGACTGTGGGTCTCTCTGGGGCCCAGTGTAGCTAAGTCCAGAAAAGGCTTATCACCGGAATGTTAGCCACCAGGGCATGAAGGGCTGACGTGTGTGGTGCTCGAGGGCCTGACCTTCCTTTGAAAATTAGTCTTTTAAATTCTGAAAGCAGAATTTAATTTGTCTACACAGATAGCATTTTAGAGCTGGGAGGGAGGGGCCTCAGATGTCCCTAACCCAGAAAATCGGAGCTGAAAGGAGCCCTTGGCAGCCTCATACAGTGTGATTGATCCTCATTCACTACCTTGCAAGGTAAAACAGGGAAGGGCTTATTATCTCCATTTTACAGATGAGGAAACCGAAGGAAAGGAAGTCACCTGCCTGATGTCACCTGGCAAGTTGCTTGCCGAGCCAGGACTCATGAGGGGGTCTCTTGACTCTCAGTCCCGGGCTATATTGGCCAACTGCGCCCCTGGCTGAGACTTGGGGTGGAGTGTGCCCCGGCCCTCTTTTTCTGTGGCCTCTAACGCCTGTCTTCCCCGCAGGTTCCTGCTTTTGGGTGGCTGTCCTGGATGGCAACGTGGTGGGGATCGTGGCGGCGCGGGGCAGCGAGGACGATAACACGGTGGAGCTGCGCCGAATGTCGGTCGACTCGAGGTACCGAGGCAAGGGCATTGCCAAGGCCCTGGGCCGCAAGGTGCTCGAGTTTGCTGTGCTCAACAATTACTCCTCAGTGGTGCTGGGCACTACCGCCGTCAAAGTGGCTGCCCACAAGCTGTATGAGTCCCTGGGCTTCAAGCACATGGGTGTCGTGGAGCACTACGTCCTTCCGGGAATGACGCACTCCCTGGTGGAGAAGATGTTCTTTCAGCTTCGCTACCACCGCTATCGCCTACAGTTACGTGAGGAATAAAGATGACGCCCTTTCAACAGCCGGAAAAACCAAACCCAACCCAACCCAACCCAAGCGTTCTCACTCAGCCCAACCCAATGATTCTCCTGCCTGGTTTCCAAACGCTTAGCCCAGCACTTTCATGGATTGTGGTTTGTTTGTTTTTAAGTTGTATGGTTTATGTGGCTGATTTGAGGGGGGGGGAGGTGGGGGGGAAGGGGGAAGAGGATCTGCTTATTTCTTTATTTAAAAACTTTTTTTTTGGTAGTTTGGTTTTGAGTTGGTTGCTGTCCTATCCCCACCACTAGACCCCTGTCCTACGCCATCTTCGATTTGCTTCCCACGTCCTGTCAGCATCCAGACGGACTGTGACCAAGATGAAGACAACAGAAATAATAACAAAATGAGCAGACAGGTAGCCTGCCTGGGCCCGTGGATGGGGCTGCTTACCAAGGGAACGCCCCAAGCCCAGGGCCCTCCTCATGCCGGGAGCCCCACGAGCCACATGTCACCATGTAGCACCCCCGGCTCACCAGACCTGTTGTTCAGACGGTGGCGCTGGCCTCATGGGCCAGTTGAAACAGCCCCGTCTGAGCCCATACCCCATACACTCTTCTCCATCTCCCCCCAAGGTAACAGACTTAATGAAGCACAGAGACTGAAAGCAGAAACACTAGAGAAAACCGCCCAGTCCCTATTCTCCCAGTCCTTCTGCTTTCCCTGGCCTGGTGTACATAGAGCGGCCTCATTGTCCACACACACATAGGAGCCACCCCTTCTTGTGGATTTTCGATACCCTCCCTCCTCCGCCTCTCCACTTGTGTGCATTTCCCAGCATTATCCCGGCCTGTGAGGAGAACATGCGCTCTTTGTCCCAGGCCTGGTGGCCAGTGGTCAGTGGTCTGCCCGGAGACCAGCATGGGAAGCCGCTTTGCTGTAATGCATGAAGAGGATGCGCCTGCCTGTGCTTGCAATGGCTCCCTCGTAGGGCTACTACCTGGGCAATGACCTTGCACTTTTTTTCTGGATGTGCCTCATTCTGCCAAAATCGTCTGAGGGAACCCCTGGTGCATCCAATGACTGAGACTCTCTCCCTCCTCCCCCCAACCCCCTTCTCTTTCTCTCTCTCTCTCTCTCTCTCTAAGCCAGCAAACAGACTTAACCCATTGGACCTGTGGAGATCCAGTGTAATATAGTGTAAAATAGAAGCCTCTGATTTCTCTACTCCCCTGCCCTGCCTTCGGTCCACAGCCCACCCCAACCTGCAGCCCTTGGCCAGACTCTGGCATAACTATCACCTTGCCTCTTTTACCACATACCAGCTTTGTGATTCCATTTCATTAAGTTTTCTCATATTTATTTGTGGTCATATACCCATCCCTCACCTTCCCTTCCCTTGCCTTCCCCTTTTCCCCCTCCCCCTCCTCATCTTACTTTATATGAGTTTGTTTTATTTTGGCTGTGGCTGAATGGTGTCATTGAAGCCTAGGGGAGGGCGGGTTCCTATAGCAACACATTTGCACATTAATGTGCCCACCCAATCCAGCCCCTTCAGCAGAGCCTTGGCTGGGGAAGCCAGCATCCCTATTATCCTAAGCAGCTGCTGGTTAGATAAGCAGAGCAGGCCTGGCCAGGTCAGGCCTGGCCTCATGGCAGCAGCCACCTGCCCGCCTGCCCACCTGCCCACCTGTCACAAAGGGAATGTGCTGCTTTAACATCGTCCAGTGTGGGCACATGTCTGTATGGAGGATGGATGTACAGTGCCTGTCCCCGGGGAGTGGCCCAGACGACAGCTTCTTCTCGCCTGAAATTGTACCTTTTTTTGTAACTTATTTAACAGAGTAGCAACTTTGCATGACTTTACTGTCTTGGGAAAAACTGGTAGGTTATATTTAAAAAAAAAACACCACAAAAACATACAGAAAAACCACACCAAAAAAAGAAAAAACAAAACAAAACAAAAAAACTGCACCACAGCAGCGCCAGAAATAAGCCTCTATTTGTGGTCCTGCTTGGCTGGGCAGTGGGTGGGAGGGTGGGGATTGGGGGGGGAGGGTGGGGGGGAGGAGGGATGCAGGCTTATAAATTTAAAGGGAAACCCCAGTTTAGCTTAGTTGTCACACCCAGGGAAAGATAAGTGCTCCTGGTCTACAAAGTATTATTATTCTGCTTGTCCTTTGTTTTCTTTTAAAGAAAAATCACTACAATGAAATTGACAAGGGACAGCACAAATGTTGATCTTGCTTGGACTTTAACCTAGGAAGTAGCTTGGTGTGAAGCACTCAGACTGGTCGAGGAAAGGAGCAAAGGTGGCACTTGATACAAAAAATGCCCAGCCAGTGGGAGCCGTGGTTGCTGAAGAGGTGTTCTGGTTGTTGGGAGGGCTGATGAATGGAGAGAAGCATGCCCCTCATGGGACCTTCCTTGGGTGTAATATGTACGTTGCTTGGGAGAACTGATCTTTCCATTCCAAAGCCATCTGGGTGCCTAGCACAGAGGGGAGGGGCTTCTCTGAAGGAGTCACAAGACCCTTTGCATGCCAGCCTCGCGGTGTGTCCGAGAACACCCCCTGTTGTTGCTGCTGGAGGAGAAGACCCTGGGAGGGGGGTCTACTGAGGGTGGATGGGGGAGGGTATGGGGGTGGGGTTCGGATCAGAGCAGAAGTGGCTCCTCTGGGGTATGAGGATGAGGAAGGCCAACTGATGTCCGATGTGGCATTTGATAGTGATTCCACTCTACATGCTGGCATTTGAGCTGAGCAATGAGGGGGAAGTTGTCCTCTAGGCTGTGTCCTTGGGGCACAGAAAGAAGAGGGGGCATGTAGGTGGGAGAGGACAAGCTAGGGTCCTTGTACCTCCTTACCTAGTGCTGCTGCCAGGGGGTAGAGGGGAGTGAAGCCATGGCCCTAAGTGCTAATCCAGGCAGGTTGGGGATGTTCCCCAGTGGGGTTGGGGAGGGAGAAGGTTAATTCTGACCTCCCTCACCTGCCCCATGTGCAGTAAAAAGCCCAGGCTGGGCTGCAGTGGGCTTGGCCAAGGAGGGTCAAACATAGACCATGGAGGGTACATATTTTGAAAGAAAATGAGTTTGTTCAAAGCAGCTTATTAAAGGGGTATGACATAGTATATATGTAGAATTTTTTTAAAAACACAAACACAAAAACCAAACGTGACAACCTTTGTATGCTGTACATTTCTCCTCCCACGGAAGGAAGTATGTCCTCTGGGGAGGAGCTGGAATTTTGTAGATTGTACAGAAATGGGCGCAGTATTTTCTTGCCATTTTCAGTGATTTTGTTACCCTGCACTCAATAGACAGATGTGAAGTGTTAGCAAAATAGAAGAAAACAGAACAGTTTGTGCCTTTTTTTCTCCCTCTGGTCGGTTTGGTTTTCAGTGGGGGCTTTTTGGGGGTGGGGGGCGTTCTGTGTTCTCTCGTTTGAGATTTCTTTTGGCTGTTGCTGGCACATCACTGCACTAAGAAAAGGAGAATGACAAGTATTTTCACGATGGGGTTGGGGGGGAGACAGAGGGTCTGACTTGGGCGATTTTTTTTTAAATTGGGGTTATTTATCGAAAGAATGTCGCTGGTTTTCTTTGATTCCTGTGCCTTTGTAACCTGCCTCACCTGTAGCTGTGCTAAGCCAAAACTGGAGCCAAGGGTCCTACCCCCCTGAGGGCCGAAGGGACAGCTCCGCTGCCAACCTCCTGCCAACTGGTGAAAGTGCGGCTTCTCCTTGGGATTGACCAAAGCACTTTTGTGTTTGTTATTTAGTTGCTTTAAGGACACGTGTGCTCGACAAAGGGATGACTTTAAAGGGGTGACCTTTGAGCCCATAAATTACGCAGGCACTGACTGCAAAGCCGTACCTGTAATTTCAGGAACCAGGCTGCTGCCTCGGAAAGATCCCCCTTCTGCCCCATTCTCTGTACAGGCCACTGGGAACCATGCCACGTCACCTAGGAGATTGTTGGAAGCCAGTCCAGTATTTAGAAGCACTCGGTCCTGTAGAAAGAAGTGGCCCGTTTTGCCTCCTTTTCCTGACCCTGTGGTGATATCTTCCTCCCCTGGAAGGGCTCAACCTGCTGGGTTGGCTGGCTGCATACCATGAGGACCTTCCCACCTTCTTACTCGCTGCCCTTCCATTGCTGCCAACATGCAGGGAACGAGTCTGCCTCTTGCACTGAATGGCCATAGGCAGAGTGCCTGCCACATTAGAACTGTGAAGTTTCTCTCCCAGAAACTTTTTGCATCCTGTTTCCCAGCTCCTGACCATCCCTCGCTGGCTGCTTGCTGTTCAACTTTGTGGTTGGCGTTTGCCGTGGGCAGGCGAAATCCTTTTCCGATTGTGTCCAAGCCTGTACAGAATAATGACAGTGTAAATATTTTCTGATTATCTGAGTGCGTTACAGTGTCCGCCCTGGTGACCCTTGAGAATAAATCTGGGGGCAAGAACCTTCGAGGACAAACTCTTCTGATGTGTATGTTTCTAGGGCATCTGTCATTCCCCAGTACCTGGAGCCACTCGTTGAGCAAATGTGCACTGAGAAACGAATTTTTTAAAGTTTGTAGGAAACTTCTGATGTTACTTCTACTACCTCTGTAAGGCTGTTCAGGTGGAGTTCCTCTTGAATGATGTGGGATTAAAAGAGGGAGAAATATGCAGTTCTCAGACCAGAGCTGGCTCTGTCGTGGGGTCCTAAAGTCCCGTAATACTCCCCAGTGGGGCCTTTGGCCTGAATTTATAGAAAGACCTTTGTGTGCCAGCTTTCCCATTGCAAAGCTGAAATCCACTTTCTCTTTGGTTTTCATCAATTTGTTGATGTAGCTGAAGGTCGAAAAGCTGGTGAGGCCTTCAGGATTTGCCCCTTGGCAACAGTGTGAGGGAGGCCACCTCCCTCATCCCCCTTACCCCCTACCATGAGCACTGTGGCTGATTCGAGAATTCCACCCCATCCCTCAAAGGGCAAGTGGGTCTCCACAGCCTGCTAGGCAGGCGCCTTGATTTGGAGACCGTTCCTTGAATAACCTGGTGAAACCAGGCTTTCTGGAGAGCCAAAAACTTTCTGTCCAGCCCAGCCAAATTGCCACTAGTTGTGTTTGTCCCCTGGCAGACAGGTAAAAAAATAGGTCTGTCTGTAGGGTTCTGTGAAATGAACCTGGGTGGTGTATGTTTCAGCACAAGGTT